TGTGAATTTAAGGATGAATATATAAAATACATTTTACATTGTTGGCGTGTTTAATTTTAACCCCACAGTTAAATAATTATTTAACAAAATGATTTTATTTTATTTGTGTGTGTGTGTCTGCCAGGGCACATGTGTGGAGGTCAGAGGACAGCTTATAGAAGTCAGTTCTCATCTTCTACCATGTGATTCCTAGAGATCTAACTCAGGTTCTCAGGTTTGACAGCAAGTGCCTTTATCTGTCCAGCTATCTCACCAGCCCAAATCCCACAATATCTTTATAATAGTTTTGTCTAATTAGGCATTCATAATGTCTTATATCAAGTAGATTTTATTTTTAAAAATATTTTATTTATTATTTTAATGAAAACACAATAGTCACTGGTATTGGCTTATGAACCATAACTTACAGGAAATCAGCTTCACAAAAGAGGCCTACCAGAAGTATATCAAAGATTACGTGAAATCACTCAAAGACAAACTTAAAAACAGAAACCAGACAGGGTAAAGCCCTTTATGACTGGGGCCACAGAACAAATCAAGCACATCCTTGCAAATTTCAATAACTACCAGTTTTTGTGTGTTTTTTTTTTTGGGGGGGGGTCTTTTTGAGACAGTGTCCCCCTGTAGCCCCAGCTGTCCTGGAACTCACTATGTAGACCAGGCTGGCCTTGAACTCACAGAGATCCGCCTGCCTCTGCCTCCCGAGTGCTGGGATTAAAGGCGTGCACCACTACGCCCAGCACCTACCAGTTTTTATTGGTGAAAACATGAATCCAGATGGCATGGTTGCTCTCCTAGACTACCGTGAGGATAGTGCAACTCCATATATGATTTTCTTTAAGGATGGTTTAGAAATGGAAGAAGTTAACAAATTGGATAATTTGGATAGATCATATGTGGAGGATAGGGAAGCTGGTGGCATCGATTCAATTCCCTCAACCTCATCCTTGAATGACATCAGTCCTCAATGGGAAACTACGAGCCTGAAGGTGTCTGTTTGATACTTAACATCTCTTTATTTTAAAAACTGGATTTGGTCACTTATGTAAAATATTTTATTTATTATTTTATTTTTATGTGTATGAGTGTTTTGTCTGATTATGTGTAAGTGCACCTATGTCATTCAATGCCCATGAGGTCAGAAGAAGGTGTCAGATCCCCTGGAGCTGGAGTTATGGATGGTTGTTAGTTGTCATGTGGGTGCTTGGAATTGAACCCAGGTCCTCTGAGAGATCATCTGTATTTCCAGTTTTAGGAGATCTGATGCTCTTTTCTGGCCTCCTCAGGCATTTCACAACACAGATGGACTTACATACCTTCAGGCAAAACACTCATATAAATAAAATAAAAGTTATTTAAAAATTTTAAAAGTCAGCCGATATCTGACATACACAACACCAAGAAATATGGGAAACAGGGGCTAGAGAGATGGTTCAGTGGTTCAGAGCAGTGACAGCTCTTGCAAAGGATCCAGGTTCAAATCCCAGCACCCACATGGTGGTTAACAGCTGTCTGTAACTCCAGTTCCAAGGGATTTGACACACTCTTCTATCCTCCATGGGCACTGCATGACATGGGTGCGCTTACATACACGCAGGCAATACACTCATACACATAAAATAAAAAAAAATTAAAAACTATGAGAAACAAATATGTGAAGTAAATATGAGGTGGTGTGAAAATATGTAGTCAACCAATGGCAATATTTGAAACCATAGCAACAATTAGAAAAGAGTGACATGACATATTTTAGTTGAGGAAGTAATTCTTGTGTTAAAAAGAAAATTATAGACATACAAGAAGCAAGAATTTCTTCTCCTCCATCTGCCTCTCTGCCTCAAGTATTTCTTAGATGTAAGAATTTATATAGTGTGATCCATGTAGATACTGCTTATGTAATTTTCTATTGTGTGTGTGTGGTATGTGTGTGTGTGTGGTGTGCCCAAAATAAGGAATATTTTTGAACAACTGATGCTCTTTTCCCTTTTTTTTTCATTTCATTTCATTGCTCCCTTTTCTCTTAAAAATTTTTTTTTGAAATTTATTTTTTTTATTTTTATTTTATGTGTACGAATGTTATGCCTGCATGTGTGTAAGTGCATAGAAAAGGGCGTTGGATCCCCTGGAACTGGAGTTATAGGTAGTTGTTAGCCACCATGTAGGTGCTGGGATTCAAATCCAGTCTTCTGCAAGAACAGTCAGTGCTCTTAACCATTGAGCCATCTCTCCAGCCCTTCTTCTCTTCTTTTTTTAAGATAAGGTCTTGCTTTGTAGCCCAGGCTCATCTGGAATGAATGATTCTCCTACCCTAGCCTTCCAAGTGCTTGGATTACAGATGTGTGCCATCGTATCTGGCTGAACAGTTGACATTCTTGATGTTGAAAACAATTTGAGGTGATGAGGGAATAGGAGATCCCGGGCATCTAATTAAAATCACTGGAAGCAAATATTTTTAGAAAAAAGAACAAACATCAATTGAGACAATCTGTCACCACTATCACCATGAATAGAAAGTATTCTAGATTATGCAATACTATCATGAGATTATTTCGTTTGAGTCCTGTAGTAATCTTTGTGTTAGGCTTAGTAAGAATCATTCTTCTTGTTTACAAATGGAGACCCCCCCGCGCCCCCGGGTTTTTAAAAGCAGATCTTGTCATTTTTTCACAAACACGGAGGCATTTTTCAGTGCATGTAAGAGAGAATATGGTAGGCTGATTTCATTAAGATTCTGGCTAATTTGGGTCCCATGGCCATCAAAGATGCATGCTTTCCTCTAAGACTTCTAAAGGGCGATTACCATAAGCATGTGGATTCTAATTTGCATTTAGAGGAGACATCTTCTTAAGTAAGACTGGGAAGCAGAAGCTTCCTGGATTGTAAATAAGGCCTTGGGAGAAGCATTATCTGGAGACCCAGGTGGAGAAAATTCACTTTCTCCAAAGCAGGGTCTCCCTTCTCTTTCTCTAAGTCTGACAAAGCCCATTCTGGCTCATTTGTTGAGGTGTTTTGAGGTGCTGAAGAAGAGGTTTTTTTTTTTTTTTTTTTTTTTTTTTTTTTTGTCTTTTTGAGACAGTGTCTCCCTGTAGCCCCAGCTGTCCTGGAACTCACTATGTAGACCAGGCTGGCCTTGAACTCACAGAGATCCGCCTGCCTCTGCCTCCCGAGTGCTGGGATTAAAGTCGCGCGCCACCACGCCCGGCTTGGAAGACATATTTTTATTAAAGTACTCTACCCTGTTCAAAGTACAGCTACACAGTAGAGCACCATTGAAAAGAATGAGATGGGGCTTTCGGGGATGATGTTCTCTAAGGTACATTTTAAGTTAGGTGAAGGTGCCAAACAGCTTTCATACCAAGTTCCCATCTGTGAAAAGAGAGAACACACACAGACCTAAATGTGCGTAAGACAGTGCCTGGGAGGGGGGGGCGGGGGGGTGAAGGCATCTAAAATGCATGCCTTCGCCAAAGGAAGATTTTTTCCACTCCACATTTTCATATTGTTTTCAAGGATAATTGAACCATATAAACTCATTATATTTCAGACAGTGTGTTAAAACGTTTTGATTGTCAACCTGGAAGAAAGAAATCTCTTGGGCTTGATACTTTTTTCTTCAAGATGGGGAACACGTTCTTGATGAAATAGCTTTTCTTCCTCTCTTCTCTTTTCTTTATGTACACCAGACTCCACATTTTCATATTGTTTTCAAGGATAATTGAACCATATAAACTCATTATATTTCAGACAGTGTGTTAAAACGTTTTGATTGTCAACCTGGAAGAAAGAAATCTCTTGGGCTTGATACTTTTTTCTTCAAGATGGGGAACACGTTCTTGATGAAATAGCTTTTCTTCCTCTCTTCTCTTTTCTTTATGTACACCAGACTGGCCCTGAACTCACAGACCTCTGCCTGCCTCTGCCCTCCCAAGTGCTGGATCTTACTTGCCACTATAAAAGCATCTGGATAAGGCAAGAAGTTCAAGATAAAGGTTAGAGGACGTTTCACGTCACCTCCCAGGCGTGGAAAGACATGGCGAGAAAACAAGAAGAAATAAATGTGGGCAAGAAGGAATTGCGAGCTCCTCTCCAAACAGCGCTCCCAAAAGTTAACGTCTGTGGAGAAAGTTGTGAGGTTTAGGTCACCAGGAACTGGGAGTTTTCCCTAACTTGCTCCGCAGTAAAGCCCTAGGGGAGAAATTCCTCTTTGGCCTTCGCAGAAAGGTGTTTTGGCTGAAAAGTCAGCTCTGAAAGGGCCTAGCCAAAATCACCCTGGGGGACCCTCGTCCTGGAACGCCGCAGACAAAAGCTCTTGCAGCTGCAGGAGGACCTGTGATCTTCCCTGCGCTGCTGCGCTGGAGCCCTGGGTGTCCTCGGTTCCGAATATTCTGGCTGCAGGTTTTTTTTTTTTTTTTTTTTTTTTTTTGGCCAAAGCCAGGCTCCAAATCGAAATGCCTTCTGAGATTAGACAGGTAACTTCTTAAGATTTGAAGCTGCCTGGTGGAGAGAAAACAGTGGAACACTGGCAAGCTTGACAAGCGTGTTCTTTAATCAAGGCGTTCAGATGGGGATTTTAAAACTACGGTGATGCTGGCTAAAGTACTGTAAAACCAAACTCCCAAGTACTGGCCAAGTCAGTGCCAATTTGCTCCCCTCAAATGTATCTACGTTCAGGATTCACTTATTTCTGTTTGCTACAACCTACTTGTAGATCCTCGGTCCTTTGGGACACGCAGAGGCAATAAAATGGGTTCCATAGGACGCGCCTGGTAAAGGCGCAGGGGCCCTCACTGCGTTTCTAGTGATGCTGCTCAGGTTGCCCCAGGAAGTGACTGAGAGCCCGTTGCCGGCAACGTTTTGCTTCCACCAAAAACAGAGTTGCATCCAGATAAGTGGGCGTGGGAAAAAGGAGATCCAGGCCCGGTACCCAGTGAGGGGCGGGGCCGGACGCAGGAAGCCCCACCCCCGCACGGCCCCGCCCCCGCGCTCTTGAGTTTGGCGGCCGCTGGCTCTCCCCTGAGTCCCCCGGACCCCAGGAGAGCAAGCGGTGTGCGCGCCGGCGCTGCGTTTTCTCTCGACGCTTGGGACGCTCGGTGGCACTGGAGGAAGCCCTGACCGAGTCCCGAAGCCGGAATAACCTGTCTTTCCGGTGCCTGCGGACGCCGCTGCAGCCGCGGCCGGAGCCCCGGGCTCAGTCGGTCCCGCGCTGCGGGGCGCGTCCTGCCTCTGTGCCTTCTTTGAGGGGCAAGAACTGAGAAAGCCGAGCCGGAGGTCTGGGCTCTGCCCCCAGCGCGAGGTGCAGGATGGAGAGCAAGGCGTTGCTGGCAGTCGCCCTGTGGCTCTGCGTGGAGACCCGGGCCGCCTCTGTGGGTAAGGAGCCCACTCGCTAAAAGTAAGGCAGAGAGGGCCGGGTGCTGGGGGAGAGTGGGAATACGGGAGAAGAGGACCCAAGTCGGAGAGCTGGAAGGGACTTGATACTTGGTGTTCTTTCACTTACCAATCGAGAAACTGAGGTTCGGAGACTGGCCTGAGACGACTCAGCGAGATGTCTTCGGAGCGCTAGCCAAGTTGCCTTTGCGCGACTCTCGCCTCAGCTGGGTCTCCGCGGAGCGGACACAGCCTCGGGCGCTGGGGAGGCGGGAGTGGGCAAGGCGCCCTGGGCTGGGACAGAAGATGCTCCCACAGGCAAGAACAGGCGGCAAAACGCCTGTAAACGAGTGGGAGCCGGGGCATTCCTCGCTGCCCAAGTCGAGTGGAGAAGGGAGCATCCTCCTGCTCCCTTTTAGGTCCAGAAGTTACGCGCATCTAGTATATGACGTGGGGGGTCTCCATAGAAGGACACTTTTTCATTTCTTCTTTGGTGCAGAATGCTGCTTCCCTTGCATAGAGAAGATGGAGAGCCACACCGCTCTTCTGTGACAGCTTCACCACGTGGCTCCAAGTGACTATCTGTGCAAAGCAACTTAACATCTTAAAGCGTTTTGGTCCTGGGGTAAATACATAGTCAGAAATCAGGCTCCAAAAATCTCTTGGATTTGGCACCTAGTTACAGGACCACTTTCCTTGTCACCTAAATTGCAATCTGGTTCAAGATTAGGAAACACACTCTTCATGCAACAATGCCTCTCCTCTCTGCTCCCTGCTCCCTGCTCTCTTCTCCCTCCCTCCTTCCTCCTCCTCTTCCTCCTCCTCCTCCTCCTCCTCCTCCTCCTCCTCCCCTCCCCTCCTCCTCTTCCTCCTCTTCCACCTCTTCCTCCTCTTCCTTTCCTCCTTCTCTCTTACTCCTCCTTCTCTTCCTTTCTTTTCCTTCTCCTTTTTCTCTTCCTCCTCCTCTCCTCCTCCTCCTCCTTCTCCTCCTCCTCCTCCTCTTCTCCTCTCTCATTTCTTTTTTGTAGCCACAGTTTGCTGATTTCCAAATCTATAACCTATTGGAGGATGAGAGACAAGAGAGAAGTCAGTTCTGTGAAAACATTCCTTGTGTAAAAGAGAACTGCATGTCTTAAAAGACACTGGCACTCACATACAGTACCAAGATCATCTGTCTACAGTTATTGAATTTCCTTCATAATGACTTGGTTCATCAGGCCAGCTCCATCAGGAGCACTCATTTGTCCCCGACAAGCCCTCATTCTCCCCCTTTCTGGGAAGAGAATGATGGTCTGGAACATGTGGTTGTTCTGCATCCCACAAAGAAGTGAGCGGCTTTGAAGCCTGGGGTGTTCCTAGTGCAGCAGTATAACAGTAGTCTGGTTGCCCTGAATGCAATGGTGAGGTTGCCCTTTCGGAGTGTGTGACTTGCTTAATTGGATTGGACTATAATTGGTGCCATCAAATTCTAGAGACAGAGCCGCTGTTGTTTTTCCTTCTCGTCTTTGAGCTGGAAGGGTAACAGTGCACAAATTAATTAATGTTGGTTATGGGATTTGAACATAAAAGGGCTTTTTATCGAGCAGGAGCATATGTACCTCTTACAGTCGGAATGAGCTTTCTGAAGAGTGAGACCCAAACTTGCCAAGGAAAGTAGAGTTTAATGGAGAGAAAAAAGAGTGTTGGCCATTGATGTGAATCTGAATTTACTACCAATAACGTTGTTGACTTGATTGTATTGTAGATATGTCGTGAGAATAGTGTGGTGTGGTCTTGGCTTCTTAGGAATGAGGTATCTTTTAAAAACACACATAGCTAATGTTTCTAAAATATGAGATTATGACAATACTTTATAGAGACTTTCAAGAGTCTTTTAGTGACTGTGGTATGGGAAGAGTGCTTGCTAGCATGTATGGGGCTCTGGGTTTGATCTTCAGTACTGAGAAAAAAGGTCTTTTACTGTAGTGGCAGAGTGGGTACCGCTTATTGAAGGGCTGGTCATAGTCATTACTACCATGTTTTTCCTCACACAAATATGGCCAACTAATAGATTCTTTCTCATTTGGATGGTGGCATGAGTTGTGTCCAGTTACTGTTTTCAGCATGTTTCTCAGGCTAATGTTTCCCACTCATGTTTAAAATCTATTTATCCAAATGAATTGTTTTTATTTTCTTTTTTTTAAACAAAGTGGTGTTCCATTATTGCAAGACTTGCTTTTGAACATTTTGCTTAATTGTTTGCCTATGTTATGGACAGTTACTTCCTTCTTATTGAAAAGTGTTATGCTAATTAATTGAACATGACTAACCAGACCAGTAGCTGTCTCAGGGTGGCCCACAGACCATCTGTGATACTGTCACTTTAAATGCCATTAAAATATATGTTTGTTGGTCTAGAGATGCTCTAACCCAGTGTAATGTTTAGAACCACTGCCGAAACACAAGTCACTGCTGATTAACTAGCTTCTGAGATTTATTGATGTAATTTAGTTTCCACTGTTTAGAAAAAATGTTATTGATCAATATATTTAGAGTTACATCAACAATGTACACAAATCTGGTGAGACTGGGTGCATTCAGGATGTATAGACTGTTTTGCACATCCGCGTGTGTGTGTGTGAGAATACATGCAGCCAGTTGTCCGTCTGCCTTCGGTGTTCACATAACGCACCGTGGCATCAGTGCACTGGGCGTTTGCCCTGGATATTTACTTATGTCCTCTTTATTCATACTGCCTCGTATTTGTTCATGTTCACTTATTTGTCCAACAATGTCAATGCCAGTTTAGGCCTTAGGAGTCATCTGTTCGCAGTTTGTGTGAGTTAGAAAGCTTGGGTACCTGCCCAGGATCAACTGATTATTTTTCTTTGGAGACAGTCTTACTATGTGGCCCAGGCTGGCCTGGAACTCACAGTCCTTCTGCCTCATCCACCTGAATACTGGGATTATAGGTGTGTGCCACCATGCTAGGCCGATTAGTTACTTTTCCAAACTGAGCGCCAGAAGGTCCTGTGTACCCATTGAGCATGGTGGGCAGATTGCCTTTTTCTCATGCTTTTTGAACACCTGGGAGCGCTTCGCATTTAGTTGACAGAAAACGCTGTTATCTTGCAATGAAGTGACTGCAGTGAAGACTCTCTCCCGTAGTATTTTTCTGTGTTTCTTGTGTCCCAGGCTTTGTGTCAGGATGAGCTCAGAGCTTTGCTTAATGAGTTGAGATTGCCCGTTAGTGTTACATTATTTTTTGTTTTGCTTTCTGAGGAAAAGTATGTTTGAATGCATGTGTGAACTTGGGAATATTTCTCTTCCTCAGTTCCTCTCCCTCTCTTTAAATGTACCGTCCATAAGCCCTTGCTTCAGCCTTTGCAGTTCAAGCAACGAGAGAACTCTGCTACATAATATACTAAAAGACAATGAAACAAGGTCAGAGTCTTTCTCCTTCAGAGTGCATAGATGAGCTGTATAGAAATCTCTGAGTAATATTCATTAATCAGCAATTTACAAATGCGTACATCCTATGCTTTGCAAGAAATGTCAGTGGGTCCTTTCCCAAGGGCCTGAGATCATCAGATGGGGGTTCACCAGGTTTCAATGTCCCATATCCTTTTGTAAGACCTTGAAGTTGGCAATGCAGGAAAACAGGAACTCCACCCTAGCGCCATGAATTGCAGAGCTGTTGTGTTGGTTTCTGACCATCTGCCCATTCTTCCTGTTATGACACAGCTTGTGAACTTTTACTGGGAATGGGGCAAAATAAATCCTACTTTTATACAATGAATTGCTGAAGAGGTCTTTTAAAGATTGGAGTGTGCATTGTTTATGGAAGGTGTTTCCTATTGGGTACAACTCTTATCTAATTTGTTTCTAGGTTTGCCTGATGATTCCCTTCATCCACCCCTGCTCAGCACACAAAAAGACATACTTACAATTTTGGCAAATACAACTCTTCAGATTACTTGCAGGTAAGGATTTCATTTTAGATGCAGATTTCCTGTGTTAAAGTACTCATTGTTTATTGAGGGGAAAACAATTTCCATTATAGTAGAATTATAATAGTGCTGTTGTAATTGTTTATAAGTAGTGAGGCTTCTAAGAACTCAGGTAGTAATGAAACAATGAGAAAGGTCTTTTCAAAACTTACATACTATTTTGCTGGTATTTTTCCTAACACATATAAATATGCCATGCACACACCATATATACAATACACAGACACAGACACACAGACATACAGACACACAGACACCCCCCCCAACACTGACATATAGTAGACACTCAGGACTATTGATTAATCATAAAGTTGAGAACATACTTTTATGAAGTAGACTTAAAGAAGTTCTGAGCCATACATGTGTCATTCAGAATGCCTTTTGGGCATCTTTTTAGCTCTTCATGAGAACCATAGCCACAAATGAAATTCTGTCTTTAGTAGCAATTTAAGTTCTAGTCAGTAATATTCCTAACCATATGCCCTGTGCAGGTCACAGACATCATGCTCTGACTTGACTTTCTGGACCGCCTCTTTTTCCCACTTTCCAGCAAAAAATCATGCTATTGATGTTGGATGCTGAAACAGATCTCTTTGACAAGAGAGACCTTTGAGTTTTGCTTTTTTTTTTCAGTCTTTTTGAGACAGGGTCTCCCTGTAGCCCCAGCTGTCCCAGAACTCACTATGTAGACCAGGATGGCCTTGAACTCACAGAGATCCGCCTGCCTCTGCCTCCTGAGTGCTGGGACTAAAGGCATGCACCACCATGCCCAGCCAGAGTTTTGCTTTTTAGCCACAAGTCAAGAAAGGAAAGCTAGAAGAAGCAGACTTGAATGCTGTGGTTATTCATGAAAGCCCATGGGTCTCTGAGGACCAATATGCTTTTAGTGGAAATGATGAGGGGTTGAGGCGGTGGTGAGCTGGGAGAAGATGGCTGGGTGCCACAAAGAGCTCTGGCTGCTTCTGCCCATTGCCTCATACTTGAAGAATACCAAGTGGTCCACAAAATAATCCAGATCGATTTTAGATCACAGTGTGGAGAGAATCCCAGGTCTCTTAGCGAAGGTCTATGAAAGTTATCAATACCCAGCTTTGGGGAGGGGAACCCACCCCAAATGGTAGCAGGTGCTGTTTCTTTATCTTTGCTAATTCTTGACATTTTCAGAGATTTTCTTCTTACCCACCCTCAAAAACAAAAGGTGTTTAAAACCTACAAGGATTCCACCCTCACTTTGGAAACTCTGCAGAAACATCTCTAAGTTTCTGAGGAAGTCATGAAGTGAGCAAGCACAAATGCAGATGCAAATTCAAGGAGCTCTTAAGTGCTTTGATTGAAGGCTTAATGGTGTTCCTTTTCTCGATTCATGTTGACTTCTTTGGGACCTCATGAAGAAATGTAAAATAATAGCAATGTCTGTTTTAAATATGTGTGAATGTTTTGCCTGTATGTAAATGCACCCATGCATGCAGTGCCCACAGAAGTCAGAAGAGGGCATCAGATGCTCTGGAACTGGAGTTACAGATGGTTGTTAACTGCCATGTGGGTGCTGGGAACTGAACACTGGTCCTCTGCAAGAGCAGCCAGTGCTCTTAACTGCTGAGCCATCTCTCCAGCCCTGCAATGTCTGTTTTAATGTGGCCCTTTAAATGTCTTTTAGTTTAACCTCTCCCCTCTGTGACCTTACTTCTTATCTCCCCCTTGCCTATATTTACATGACTACTCTGGCTTCCTTGGTATTTCCTAATATTCCAGATGTACACCCGTCCCAGTCCTTTGCATTTTCTGTTCCCTCTGTTTGGAATGCAGTTCCACCCAGTGTGCTTAGGGTCACCGCCCCCCCCCCCATGCTTCACTCTTTTCTTTGCATCCTTCAGTTTCTTCACAGTACTGATTACCTTTAATACAATTACTTGTACTTACTTTTTCTCTGTCTCCTCCCACTTAGAGTGAGGTTCCATAAAAACATTGTTTCATTTTGTTTTGGTTTTTTCTTTTTTTAGCCCTGGGTATAAAACCCAGGGCCTTGTGCATGCTGAGCCAGTGCTCTACCACTGAATTATATCCTTGGTCCTTAACAATGCTCAGCACATCATAGATGTTTAATAAATATTGTTTTTGAAGGAATAAATGCATGAATTAATAAAAAACACAGACTCTATGGGTAATTTCCTAAGCAGAGTCTGTGACCTTTGGTGGGATGTCCACACAAGTTGTCTGTCAGCTTTGAACTGTCTGTTAAGTAATTTATGTAAGTTATGTAACAGCATCTATACAGCCATAGCCTCCCGTATGGCAATTCACATTAATACCTTCTTGGAATTAATTTTTCAGGGGACAGAGGGACTTGGATTGGCTTTGGCCCAACAATCAGAGTGGTTCTGAGGAAAGGGTGGAGGTGACCAAATGCAGCGACAGTGTCTTCTGCAAGACACTCACAATTCCAAAAGTGGTTGGAAATGATACCGGAGCCTACAGGTGCTTCTACCAGGACACCAATGTAGCCTCCACTGTTTATGTCTATGTTCAGGGTAAGTGATGGACCGAATAGAATGTATTGTCGACATCTATTTTCCAGGTCTAAAACTCAATAGACACAGAGAAGAACTGAGTCCCACCAAAGGTTTGCTCAAAAGGCTGTTTGCCAAACCAAGTAGACCAACTTCTCTCCCAGGCTTCCTTTGAGAGATGACTCACTGGCTGTTCTGGAGCCTGGGCCATGCTGCCTCGCTCTTCTCCAGTTATGTCAGTTCTGACCTTTTCTCTATGGTAAATCTGTGATCCTCCTTGGATATGAAGACTCATAAAATGCCTGCTCTTTGAGACAAGACCATGAGATCTTTGAAATCAAGGAAGATTTGGGGGTGAATTATGCAGAGATTTCTGTGGTGAGATAGGTTATCTGTAGCAAGGAGATTTTTGCAGGAATGCAGAGGGAAATAAATAGCCAAGGACTTTGGAGGGTTTTTTTCTCCCCCATAATATCTTTCCTTTCTATACTCACACTTTATAAAAAAATAATTCACATACTTATGTGCAAACCACAGCTACTTCAAGAGGACCCCTCCAGAATTGCATTTCTTGTTCTTGTTTTTGCTTGTGTGATCTGAGTTTGAAATTTAGAATTGACACAAGAGATCCAAAACTGGAGAGAGACTTGTGAAAAGTCATTTACAGTTAGAGTAAATATTTTATTTTGAAAGGATGGGTGGTTGTTTGGGCTTCTTTTGTTTACTTCCCTTTGTAGGGCTACTGAATTAGAATTGATTTATAGAAGAGCTTTTGTCTTATGTCAAAAGGTTAGTTTAGCTGTGTAAACAAGTTATATAATTTAGCATCTATATAATAAAAACTATAATGCTATGTACATTCAGTATTTATAGCATGGATTATGCTTTCTTTATATTTTGAAAATCATACACTACCTTTATTTTTTGTGAAAAACCTATCTTGTGAAATGT